TTTGTGTTCTCCATTCTTTAAGCACCGGTTTGAGCACTGTTTGAGCACCGGCACCGTTTCAAAAGTACCAATTTGGCACCGGTATCGGATAAAACCTAAACGATACCCATCCCTAACGGTTAATATTACGGAGATGAAAGTAGGAAGACCGAGTGATTATTTATATGTGCTGTGAAGGACAGAGTGCTGTCGAGGATGACACCAAGACTTAACCTGAGGGGAGGGTGTGACAACAGATTTATCAATGGATAACGAAAGACTGGTTGGAACTGTAGTCAGTTTTGATCTGGAGCCTATTAAAATTAACTCTGTTTTATTGCCATTAAGTTTAAGAAAGTTGTGAGTAAACCAGACCTTGATTTCACTTAAACAGTCAGAAATGGATGTGGGTGGGAGAGTAGCTGTGGGTTTGGAGGATAGGTAGAGCTGGGTGTCATCTGCGTAGCAGTGAAACTGGATGTTATGCTTCCTAAAAATATCACCTAGGGGTAGGAGATAGATGATAAAAAAGTAAAGTACCCAGGACAGAGCCTTGGGGTACACCGGAATTAACTGGAGTAGATACTGATCTGTGACGGAGTAACTGAACAAACTGTGAGCAGCCAGAGAGATAAGACGTAAACCAGGCGAGTGCTGTACCATTGATGCCAATAGATGCTAATCTGTGAAGGAGGATGCAGTGGGAGATAGTATCAAAAGCTGTAAGGTCAAGGAGAATGAGGATGGATATAAGTCCAGAATCAGCTGCAAGCAGAAGATCATTGGTGATTTTTACTAGAACTGTTTCTGTACATGAACGGAAGCTGGACTGAAACTGTTCGTACAAGTTATTTCCAGTGAGATGATGATGAACCTGTGCAGCCACTGTCTTTTTGCTAGGAAAGGGAGATTTGAAATTGGCCTGAAATTATTTAGATTGGAGGGATCTGAACCGTTCTTTTTCAATATTGGGGTTATTATTGCAGTTTTAAAAGAAGAAGGAACAGAACCAGATATAAGAGAGGAGTGTACGATATTAGCAATCAGTGGGGCAAGAGACGGGAGTGAGAGTTTAACAAGATTTGTCGGCAGTGGATCAAGTTTACATGATGATGACTTTAAGTTAGTAATTATGGAAGATGGCTGAGTTATTGTGGGAAGTTCAAAACTGGATAGAGAGGATGACAGCTGAGAAGGACAAAAAATGCAGATAGAACAATTGACCATATCACAGGATGAGGGCAAGTGGTGGTGAAGATTCTCAATCTTGGTGTAAAAAAAGTCTATAATGTAGTGATATTCAGAAGGGTTTGCTTTTTTAAATATTTTTGTTTAAATTGATTTTCCATTTTTTTACATCCACATTCAACACTTCACACTTTCAGACATAATTTAAATTATTATTAATGCATAAAAATGACCACAAGCTCAAGTGTTTGTACCCTTTGACAAGACAATTAAAATTTACCTAAAGTTTCTAATAAAGTTTCTCTGAACTTAAAGAAATTTCTCCAAAATGTGTTTTTGATTTAAAAACCAATATTGCAGTCCATATAAAATCTCACAGACGACTGCACAGACAAGCACGAAGAACCACACCCACACATACTGTACATGCTAGTTTTGTCTTATACACCAGAAAAATATCACTCCGTTCTCAAATCACCTGTTCCACCCCAGCAAAAAACTGCTCCAACTTCTGCAATCAGAAGGTTCCGAACCATCCGGGCAAGAACAGAGAGGCTCAAGAGGAGCTTCTATCCTCATGTTGTGTCCGTGTGTTAATCCGTTAATCCATGTGCACAATATCACGGCACAAGCAGGATTCACGGCACTGTTAATGT